GCCACAGGCACGACCACCGACACTCCGGCGGGGACGAGGGACTCAGCAGACGGAGGATAGTTCTGCTTTCTCGCTCCCTACCACTGCGAGGTCCCACAAGCCTTCCTCCGATTCCGCTTCTCGACCGACGCCCTATGGTTCGTCCCTGGGGAAGAAGGTAAGTAACTATAGATGTTATCACTAGTACTTCATATGATACATTGAAAATCAAAAGAGAAACTGATAATTTTTCAGTAATCACTTGTGCAGGGGGCTGGCTAGTTCGCTGGTGCTCTTGACCCCCACGCACCCTTCCACTGTCCTAGGATGTCAGTGGGAAACACTTCCCTGCCTTGTGGACTTGAAAGAGGGAGGTGGGAGCCGCCTGGTCGTGGGACAGTACAAGCTCGGCTCTGGATGACGAAAGCGGGACAACAAGCGAGGAGCGGGTTTTATGGACTTTTGGGTAAGTGTCTCACAACATAGCTCAATACATCTCCTCTATTGCTTAAGTCTTTTATTGAAATAATGAATGGATACATCGTGTTTGTATGTAGAGGTACTTCAAGGTCAAGAAGGTAGAGAGACCTGGCGGATCGGGGACGGCACACAGAGCTCAGTAAGAAGTACGTCGGCGACATGATTCACGAGGCACGACTCCAGCCCACGCCGACTACTACAGGGTCCATCAAGAAAGAGCCCCTCAACAAAACCGGCGCGCAAGAAATGTGGCTGACCAAGGAGCAGATACCTTGTGTAGGTGAATAATATTAATTCATTTTGAGATTTAGTAGGTCTAGAATTGATCTTCTTATATGTCAAACACTTGATGATGTGTAGGTGCCGGCCTCGTGGTGCATGTCGCATAGATCGGCATGGTCGAGGATCGTGGATGTGTACCTTGACCCGCGTACATCATCGCAAGCACGAGCAAGGCAAGCGGAAGCGGCACCGAGGACCGCTCAACTCACCACCAAGGCAGCAAGAAACCTCCCGCATTCAAGCGGGCACTTGTACGAGATGTCATTTATCTATTCTAACGCTCAATTTTGCCTCGATTTCTAATCATCTTGCCGTCTTTCTCGCAGGAGGTGGCACACCCGGACGTGCCGGTGTCGGAGTTTGGGGCATGGGCTGTGTCCCACATGGGCCGAGTGAAATCTGGTGTCGTCTTCAACCCGGATGCCCCTGTCCAGGCTTACTCTGACCCGAGCGTCCACGCTAAGGTCAGAGACTACACGGAGTTAGGGAGGCGCCCGTGGCTCGGGATCACAATCCGAGCACCGAGCCCTTGAGACAGAGGGTGATCGTGAGGTCAAAGGCGGGAAGCACAGGCGGTTGTGGATTGCGACGGCGCCGACTCCTCGAGCTCTGCACCCTCTCTCTCCGACGTGAGGGCACGGAGCACGCGCCGAAGCCTTCCCATACGTGCACGGCCTACTCCAACAACATCGCTGGTCGACGAACTTCGTAATTTCTGGTTTCACTCGTCGTACATTGAACGTTACACACATTGATCAGATTTGCAATCATCAAACATGTGATTGAAACACTGCAGCCGAGCTGGCAGAGACAAGGGAGATAGCGCACCTCGACCGCAGAGCTGGAGGCCACGAAGAAGCGGAGATGGCGGACATGTATCGATCATGCAAACCATCGGCAAGCATCGGGTGTCCAAGTGCGCTTTACCCGGCTCCAGCTCGGTTCGACACTTCACTCCTGTGAGTATGGAAGTTTAATGCGTTAAATCAGGTTGTTGGGATTGTCGGCCTTCGTGCCATTGTGATTTTCGACCTTCGTGCGTTGGGATTGTCGGCCTTCGTGCGTTGTGATTGTCGGCCTTCGTGCCATTGTTTCTTGCGGGTTGGAAACCTCCCGTGCGGAGGTGTCACCAAATTTTCAATTTTAGTCTAACACATGCAATCTCTTCTCTTTTATGCACCTCGTCAAGGTTCAAACAATCCCGCTTAGCGTGTCACCGACGGTGATCACGTCAACCCTTTCGCCCATGATCCGGTCCTTCACCATTTGTCCGGGGCCACACTGCAGCTTTAAAATCCATGATGAGATGTTGAACTTTGTGATGTCGAACTTGTAATAATAAACTTGTGATGTTGAACTTTGGTGAATTTGTGATGGATTTATTAAATATGCGTGTGCTTGTGATATATAATGCATGTTGGTGATATAGATGTGATGATCGATGATGTATATATATATATATATATATATATATATATTATCCTGTTACAATGGAATGTAAAAAAAAATTACAATTCTCGGGGTCTTTGCCGAAAGTGCCATGGACAAGGCACTTTAAGCAAAGTTTTTTCCAAAAATTCCAGAAATTCTTTGCCGAGTGCCCATAGGGCACTCGCAAAAGTATTTTTAAAAAATCAGAATTCTTTGCAAGTGCCCAGTGCTGGGGCACTTTCGGCAAAATAATTTTTAAAAATAAAAAAAACTTTGCCGAGTGCCTGCGAGGGGCACTCGCAAAGTATTTTTTTATAAAAAATCCAGAATTTTTTGCCGAGTGCCCGGGTCAGGGCACTCGGCAAAATATATTTTTAAAAAATAAAAATTTGCCGAGTGCCTTAATAGGGGCACTCGGCAAAGTAATTTTAAAAAATAATTAAAAACCTTTGCCGAGTGCCTAGACTTGGGCACTTTCGGCAAAGTAATTTAAAAAAAATAAATTTTTTTTTTGCCGAGTCTTTCGGGTCAGCCCTCGGCAAAACAACCGTTAACGGTCAATGTGGAACGGCCGAAAAATATTTTGCCGAAAAGTACTTCAAGCACTCGGTAAAATTGTTTTTATTTTGCCGAGTGCCCCGATAAAAAGCACTCGGCAAAGACCCTTTGCCGAGAAAAAATTTGCCGAGCGGACTTTGCCGAGTGCTACACTCGGCAAAGCCTTTGCCGAGTGCAAAGGGCTCTTTGCCGAGTGTAAAAACACTCGGCAAAGACGCGGCCTCCAGTAGTGTGGACTTGTGGTGAACTGATGGTGATCTTAGTTTCTATGTATATATTGATTGATATTGATGATGCCTCAGTTCGTCAACATGAGTACTTGCTACATATATACATCCTTTGTCAAATATACATGATCCTTAGAAGTCAAAGCGAAAGCGAGAGCGAGAGAGAGAGAGAGAGAGAGAGAGAGAGAGATCCTAGCATAATCCCTAGATGTGTAGTATATTCCGGTTAGGACTGCCGTCCCCTCCTCGTTCTTACCCTTTTTATATATTGATAAGAAGATACTTCTTCCATTCTCTTTTATAAGACACACATGCATATTAAGATTAAAACTAATAAATGATCAAAGTGTAATTTGGAGACCATATCATGTTAAATCGCGTCCTATAAAAGAGAATGAAGGGATTATCTGCAATCAGCTATCTACGGTGGTGAATTAAATCCTATGCCATTTGAAGGTAAAACCATTTAGCCTTTCAATTTTAAACTCTGAATAAAGAAATCAGGTAGCTAGCCAACACCCTCCAACTTTTGAAGCTGAACAAATTTGGTCCTAGTTTCATTCAAATGTGATTTTATATTTTCGAAAATTACTAAAAATGTGGTTCAATTTTTTAAACAAATAATAACTAATTAATTTCACATCATAATATTTATGATTTGAATCGATTAAACCATATTTTCATCAGTTTTAGAAAATAGATAACTACCTTTAAAACCATCTAGAAATTTTAATTTGTCTGGCTTCGAAATTGGAGCTTAGAAAAATAAATAGATGTTGCCCTTGTTTGAATGAAAAAGATCAAGTTCTCTCTATCATCTGAAACAGGATCCATCTTTCCGGTCAATCGCATGAGGCAAAGTTCCGTTCCTCTTTTTTTCAGTTTTCACTGTCTAGTAAAGACAAAACAAGTGTTCTGACTGCTCCTGGCATTACGTGCACTGCTCCAGAATTGAGCTTCACTGTCGTCGCATTACTTTCAGACAGAGACATATGACTGCCGGCCCATCGTACATTCAGACAGAGACAGCAGCAGTTGTTGCCAGCAAACATATGACTTTGAGAAAATTCCTTGGTGAAAATTATAACTATCCCTTCATTACCATTGAAAAAATGATCTTCTCTTCATTGCCATTGATTTATGCTTTCCTTTCCCTTGGCTGCCATTCCGTCAATTTCATGCGTAACGACGTTTGGAGGAGCTTTGCTGAGCTCGCCGTCACGGCAGTCTCTGGCAGCTGTCAGACACTCTATAACCCTGAGATGACCATGACTGACCTGTCGCTTGCAATGCAGCGGTGGACCTGATCAAGAACGCCAAGGCGCAGGCCATTATCGACGGGTTGCGGACGGCCGCCGAGGCCGAAGTTCGTGGGCGCGCGCGGTGACCGCGCCCACGTTCCCCTCGCCTCATGTCCTTCTCCGCGGTCCCCACGACGCTGGACGCGCGCTTCTCCGTATTACGGCGCCGGACGACTCCTCGCAGGTCGCTACCATCGCGGGCGTCCCGAGAACTTCCATCGGCGCGCGGGCGGTCCTGCTGCACAAGGACTCGCGCTTGGCAAGGCCGGGTATCGTCCCGGCGCTCTCCGGCCGCGCGCTCGGGCGTCGGCGCCACCGTGGCGCGCATCAAGCGCCATGGTGCCCGCCGACAGCGTCGACGACGACCGCCTCGACAAGCGGTGTTGTATCACGCCCTCGTCGATGACGGCTCGCGTCTTCGCTCGTGCACATGTCATTTCCCCAGTGCTGCGGGTTGTTTCACGGGGCCAAGAACTCCGGCATTAGTCCGAAGGCTACGCTCGATCGCCACGCCCGCAGCGGGCGACACCGGAGGCGATCGGCGACGCTGCTTAGGCCGCGAGGACACCGACGCGATGCGTAGGCGTGGTTAGCGTCGGCCGCCGACGCGTGCGCCCACGAGCCAGCCGGTGACTTTGCCAAACGGTTCAGGCAAGGTTTCGCCAGAGAACGATGGCTCTTAGGACACCACGGAGCCGACCACGCCGACGTTCAAGGCGACGACACGGCGGTCGCGGCCGCCATGGCGATTGAGGCGCGGCGGGATCTCTGGCTCGGATTTCATGCCACCGAAAGGAGGGACGGGGCTGACGGAGCTGGACCAGCTTCGGCGTCTTCGCCACCGGCGAGAACTTGCTCAAGGTCAGTCGCAACACGACATTCGACGGGCTGGCCGGGAAGTTCAGCCGCCGGACGGGCAATCGCAGACGCCGGCGTCTGAGATCGTGAACTTCGCCGCAGACGGGCTCAAGACGGTGGGGTTTTGGACCACAAAGACCGGGATCTCACAGAGTTCGCCGCCGACAGCGGTGAAGGCTTGAAGAAAGTCAATTTCCGGCGTGGAAGAATCGACATGCGAATTCCGGACGGGTGGGCTTTCTCGCCGGTCGAAGCGGCGCTGGTCATCGCCGTGCCGGTGAAGCACGGTTCCAGCAGTTCGTGCAGTGTACAACGACACGACGAAATGGCAGGACGATAGTCTCCGCTACAGACATCGACGCGTGTTCGGCGGCCATCAAGGCACTGCCCTACCCGTGTACTACCAAGATGCGTTGCCCTACTACGGCATCGGCAATGCGAGTTCATCCTCTTACGACCAGATGATAGACCTGATTCCCGAGGAGAAAGCCCATGCGGTCGTCGGCGATGTGTCCATCACCGTGGGCAGGATGGCGGAGGCGGACTTCACCATGCCGTTCACCGAATCGGGTGGTCCATGGTCGTGGCGGTGCAGGCGCAGGAGGCCACGTGCATGTTCTTCTTCCTCAAGCCGCTCACGCCTGGGCTCTGGCTCGCCAGCCTCGCCGCCTTCATCTTCACCGGCTTCGTCATCTGGGTGATCGAGCACCGGATCAACCCCGAGTTCCGAGGCACGCCGCTGCAGCAGTTCGGCATCATCTTCCACTACGCCTTCTCTACCCTCATCTTCGCGCACAGTAAGCTAAGCTAGCTCTCCTTCTTCCGCCACCAAGAAAACTGTTAAACTGATCAGTCTCTCATGGTGGTGATGGTGTGCAGGGGAGAATGTGGTGAGCAACCTATCCAAGTTCCTGATGGTCATATGGGTGTTCGCCGTCCTGATCCTGACGTCGAGCTACACGGCCAGCTTGACATCGATGCTGACGGTCCAGAAGCTGAGGCCGGCAAAGCTCTTCCAAACGTCGTTATGCATGAAATTGACAGAATGGCAGCCAAGGGAAAGGAAAGCATAAATCAATGGCAATGAAGGAAATATCATTTTTTCAATGGCAATGAAGGGATGGTTATAATTTTAAGTGGCAACCAAGGAATTTTCTCTATGACTTTCAGGTGTGGTTAATGTATAAGTACTCTGTGGTACGCTTCAAATAATTTTCTGAATTATTTAGAAACGATACAAATTTGACTTATTACTACAGCACTTCAAATTCTAGGTAGGCGGTAGGCCTAACATAATAACAAGAGAAGAACCAAATTAAACACATGTATGTGAGTGCCTAACACACATCCACATCGATCGTCCTGTCATTGTCCGTGTGACATATATAAGCGAAATATATAAAGTGGCAATGAATCAGACGATGATATATAGCCAGCTGATGGAACAACTAATTTTGTATGCATTCAAAGCTAAGGTTTGTATAGCTAATCTTAGCCTTGCCATGACTTTTTGGAATAAAAAATGTCCACCTATGGTGTTAGGCAAGGGATATATGTTAAGAAAAGATATACAGAGTATATGAATTATTTGCCGTTTTTCTTATAACATTTTCATTTATTCGCACGTTAGACTAGAGCCAGACCTCAGTAGTTGTCAGTCGTCAGACATGTATAATTTTCATCATGCATGATGCACGCGCGTTCGATCAGTTTGATTTCTACCACCGGTCGAGCTTGGGTACATTTGTGCGCATGCATCAACGACTCCAGTCTTGTTGAGCTACCTCGATGGGACACGCATGAGAGAAGGAAGATTCATAAACAATATATATATATATATATATATATATATATATATATATATATATATATATATATATATATATATATATATATATATATATAATGCAGGTTAAGAAGGATGGAGTCCAGTAGCTTTCTGGTGTACTATGTAGATTTTTTTTTAATTTTAACATTTTTTAAAACTAATTTTAAATCTAACACTCTTTGTTTGTTTTTTCAAAACTAACACTTTTGGCCGCGCCTATTGCCATGGCGCGGCGGGAGGATGACGTGGCGACGACCGGAGCTGCTGACCGGTGACGTGGCAGGGTCTGCCGCGCCATAGGCCACGGCGCAGCACTGCCGCAGGACCAGGACGCAGACAGAAGATCCGCCGCTGCCGGTGAGGATCGGCAGCGACGCGACCATAGACCTCGGCTTCGCGTCAAGAATCGAACGGCACCTGCAGCTCCGACCCCAACGCCTTAGCCTTTTCTCGACCCTCGCCGGTGGGCTCGGCAGTGCTCTAGTTCGACATGAGGTCGCGCAGACGACGATCGACTATCTGCGCCCAACCAGTGGTGCCTTCTTCGGCGATTTCGTGGCGGCGATGACCAAGCTTAGGAGGATCGGGGTCAAGACGCCAGCCACCGGCGGCGAGATACGCTGGAACTGTCGGTTCCCGAACTAGTTGCTAGTTAATCTCGCCCGCAGTGCTGCCGCGACGCATTGAAATGAATATGAAGCAAATAAAGCAAGTATATGATATGCACGATTACTTATAATCTTTATGATCGTTAGTTCATAGAGCCTACGTATTTAAAGAAACTACCTTTGTTTACTACCGTGAGGCTCCTTGGGTACCAAAAACGGGCACCACCTAGCCGAGACATGCCGATCTCGGCCCTGCGCCAATCGTCCCACCGGTGGTGCTGCTCTGCGAAGCTTGGGGGGTCGCTGCCGTCCTCGTTTGCGGTGGTCCTTCCCAAGCGCTATAATGTGGTGGTGTACGATCATGAAAGTGGCACCTGCCACCGGCCGAGAAGAGCCGGCCGGTGTCCTCAAAAGCCGAAGAAGTGCCACCCGACCGCTTGCGGGACCGCTGGTTCCACCTAAGGAGTGTCCATGCATTTCAGATTCGAAGCTAGCTTCCTGCAGCTCCGCTTCACCTTCTGCATAAATAGACGTTAAAGTTAGTGCATTTCTCAAACGCATATATATTAAAGAAACATTTTTGGAACGGACAAGTTTATGTTTACCTCCACAAAAGCCTCGAGAACGCCTGGCCCCTGCCCTCTAGACTCGTGAAGCCGAAACGCTGCTTCGTTGGACATCCTTGACAATTGTGTCCCCTAGGTACAAAAACGCGGTTGGACAGTTTTAGTACACATATTTAATACCAAATGGATAACAAATTGTACCATTCGAGTATCTTACCACGTATCTTTGAAGCAGGGCTCTCTGTAGTTGTGCGTCGTCCCTAGTGGCAACATCGTACACATCTTCGATCACATCTTCCTCTGAGTCCTCGTCAATCGCCTCCTCAGTGTACGGGGGCATGATATGTGTCCTTGTAGACCCGTGAAACCGCCATAGGTACTCGTTGAAGGTGTGCTGGTCGTGTGGGGGACCCGCATGGACCGATTGCTTCCCGTCCTCGCTCACCTGGCCCGGATGTACGTGTTGTGTGTCACATGCCAATCATTGGTCTTGTACCTCTTCCTACGGTCATACCTGTAACAAAATAATGTTAGTTGTACCACACACACCTCTGAATTATAGCTTTGTTATTAATCGATAACGCACTCATGCAATTCTTGGTTGGTGGAGTAAAGTGGTGGTGGGTAGCCTATCATTCTTCCAAACTGCCTACAAACCCTGATGGGCAAGTAAATCTCGACCACGTGGAAGAAAATAAGAGGGACGTTGCAGCGATACTCGTCTGACTCATCCCTAGTGACAGGACTCAGATAGTACTCGAGCTCTGAAGCATCCCAAGGACACCAATGCACCTGAATATTTCGTAATTGAGTTAGGTTGTGATATAGTGTACAACGAACAAGACACATGTATGATAGTAAAGAGAGCGTAACCTAGTGCTGTGTTAGGACGTCGAGACCATCCGTGTACTTTCTGTACTTGTGCCTCGCATTCCCTCTAACTAACTCTGCTTGCATCCAGATATACAAAGTTGTATGGAGTGTATCATGCCCGTTCTAATGATGCATTGAACACGATAATGAATTAGCCATTAATAATTTAATCATATGTAACTGCCTCGAAAAATATAGTGAACCAAAGTACTTATAGGTAAACCAGTATTAAGGGACCTTTCAACGGGCCATCGTTCCCAACACCAAACCTGGAGTAGGTAGGAGCAACCCCAAGGTTAGGATACCCTGAGGTGCGACGACAGGCAACGCATAGCTGTCGATACGTCCATGCCAGGACTACGCTGCCCCAGCTGTACGCCGCTATGTTCTCCTACGGCTGGCGTAGTATGTCAAGGAAGATCCAGCTGATGGTGTTGTCCGAGGCGTCTAGGAATAGGAAAGCACCAAGGAAGTGTCAGAGCCACACTCTAGCGAACCTATCGATCTGAGCCTCATTAGCCTATGGGTCCAAGTAATCAAAGCACTCTGTGATCCAGGACAACGAAACACCAGAACTTTTTCTGAAATTCACCAAAGAACATGAGACTCGATGGCTGCAGAAAAGCAATACAAGTATTAAATAGGCTTGAATTGCTCACTTATTTTTCTTGGAAACCTCATCATCCGATGGAAGAAAGCCAGTGAACTGAGCCACCAGCTCCCTCCAGTGATCGTTGTCAATTATACATGTCACTGGAAGTCCCCCCAACCAAAGGCCAAAGATAGCCTTCACGTTCTACATGGTCAAGGTCATCTCGCCGCAAGGTAGGTGGAACGTGTGGGTCTCAGGCCTCCACCTGTTATAAGAATAGAACGACTGTTAGTTGCCTCAAATTTGTTATAAGAATGTTTACTTACAAAGAAGGCACTCGCACCTGTCTACAGCTGCAGTAAGTAGTGTTGAGTCAAGGGGCGGAAGACCATAGTTGACAACACGGACAAGCTCGAGGAAGCTAGCACAATGTATGTACGGCGCGTAATGCTCGTCCCACTGGCGCGCCCTGGTGTGCGTGCGGGGCCTCAAAGGAGGCAAGACCACCTCTGCGTCGGTGTCACTCAAGATGTGTGCTCGGTGCTGGTCGTTGTATTCCACCTCAAGAAGAGGATACAATAGGTGCTGCGTGGGAGGGGCCATCCTGTTATAAATTGATAAACAAAGGGTTAGAGTATTCAAATTAACAATATTCAAATTAACATTATGTAACATTGCAAAATTTGAACTACTTGTTATGCAATACGAACACAATATGAAAGTACATGTATATATTCAAAGTAATATTAACAGACATATTAAACAACTTCACTAGAAAAATAAGCATTTGACGAAACTTCATCAAGTCATCCAAATCGCCGTATCACGTACTACTAAGTACGGACACTTGAAAACTAGTATCTATACTCACAACCTTTACTACTATAAACTAACTAAATAATAAATACATAATCAATCCCTAAACCAAAAATGCTAACTAATAGTAACCTAAACCCTAACTACCTAACCAAACCTTAACTATACTACAACACACAACCTAAACCCTAAAAACTAACTACCTAAATAAATAAATTCACTAACCTAACTATTCTAAATCACTAACCCTAACTAAAACAACAATCATAATAACATGAAATCGAGAGAGGGAGGTACCTTGATATGAGCGGGCGGTCGTGCCGTGCCGCCGGACGCAATGGCGTTGGCGCCATGCTGGGCGCCGCGAGGTCTTCTTGGGCGTGTGGGCGTCTTGTGGGCGCGCGCAAAGCAGCAGAAGAGACAGAGGAGGGTGGCTCATGGGCGATATTTACACAGGACTGCCAGCGTCGATAGGGATGGCGGCAGCTTGCCAGCTGTCCAATATTGGTGGCGCGGCGGACATCGTCTCATCACCGGTCAAGCCCCCGGTCGTCGCCACGTCATCCTCCTGCCGCGCCACCATGCATGACGCGGCATAGGCGTTTCGTCGCGCCATGACAATAGGCGTGGCCAAAAGTGTTAGTTTTGAAAAAAAAACAGTGTTAGATTTAAAATAAGTTTATAAAAAGTGTTAAAATTAAAAAAAAATCACTATGTATACGGTGTTGGACACGATATGTATATACACTTCAAAGTAAACCTAAATTTATCTCTTTTAAAAAAAATAAAGAATACCCTAAATTTTAATTGAAGTGCTCAAAGTAAACCTAAATTTAGTATCTTAATTTTTACCAATTATAGATAAAAATGCATTAATATTTATGATATAAAAATATCATTAGATTAATTACGATAATAAATTGATTTAGAGACATAAATATGAATATCATTCATTAGGAAATTGATCAAACGTGAACCACGGTAGCGGACA